AGCAATTATTGTTCTATTCTTACTGGAGAGAAAAATTTTTCAAAATAATTAGCATGTGAAGAGCTTATTTTAAAAAAAAAACCACAACAATTTGTCCAAGTAGGGAAAGAACATCACATTTGTGTAACATAATGGGTATGAATAAAAATGAAATTTTTCTAGAATTGTTGATTATTGTTGGACAGTTTATAAAATAGTAATTAATTGGAATACCTTTTATTAATCTAAATTAAGATTTAGATTTGGCGTTTCTGGGGTTTTTTTTACTAATTCAGAGGCACTGGATCGTGCGAACACTAAACATACCCAGTTTCTAACTAAAAAGGGATAGTTTGAATTCATGCAGAGGGGCCTGGAGATGTGCTTCCCAACAGTCAGCCACAGAGAACCCTGTGGAACAGCTGAACTGTGGTGCACACATGGGAGGACCATGGGCCAGAAAGGAGTCCACAGCGCCCAAACTAGGGAATGTGAAGTTACGCAGCAATCTAAGTTGAAGCCTGAAATGCAGTGGTTCAAGGACCACACAAAAGCCTACACAAGTAATAATCTACAGAGAAAGTACATACCAATCCATGTCAGAGTAATGTAGCTAAATTGTGGTTAGGTGTCACTGAGCCAGCCTCAGCTCATTTGAACCTTGCCCCATCCTGCACCACCCTCAGGATGCTCGAACCCATTGGGAAAGTTACTATGTCAACTCATCTTGATGAGGGTCTTCCTTCCACCTTTGCCAGAAAAATTGCAGTCAGGATCTCTGGGAGTGGGGACCCATGCCTCTGTACCCTGAAGCTTTCCAAGTGAGCCATTCCAGGGAGCAGACAAGGGTGAGGACCACCTCAGCTGAAATACCCAGAGGTCTGTCAGCTGACTCCAATCCAACTCACTCCTAAATCCTCAGTTCTAACATCAGAGCTCCAGGAAGCCCTCAGTGAAGATCTGAGCGGGGTCTAGCTCCACGAAAACCCTGTGTGTGTGTGTGTGTGTGTGTATGTGTGTGTGTGTGTGTGTGTGATTTTCTTAGAGGCCTTTCTAAAAGGGTCCTGGCTGTGACCATATACTGCCTCACATTATAATCACTTGTGTCAACACTGGCCTCTCCCATTACACATGACAGTTGGCAGGGAAGGCACAGGTAGTACACATTTGAGGCATTGTGGGACACAGGCTTTTGGTCACAACCACGCAACTCTACAGATGGAGCATGAAATCATCACAGACAACACGGAAACATGAATGTGGCTGAGGTACAGTCAATTTGGATTTGCAAAAACAGAAGGGAGACTGGTTTCGGCCTAGATACTGAAGTTTGCTGATGTGAGTAACACAGCTTCTTAGGACGAAGAACCTTTCCTGTTTTCTTCTTTGGTCTGATGAGTAAGGAATTGCACTGCCACGCCCAAAGCAGGCAGTTCAAATACACCACTGTTCCACGGGAGAAAGCAATCTTCGCCCTCTGAAAACCCACTGAAGGGTCAGCTATGGGTCGTTTGCAACAGATTGGCAATGAGTGTCTCTTAGAGTGCCTGAGTCAATAAGGTAAAATCCCAACACTCCCTTTCTGAGCTCTATGTTGTCACTGCTGTACAGCCACAGCTGATGGCACGGGGAGACAAAAGGGGTCAGAAAAGATCACCAAGTCTGCCTTGCAGGGAACTATTAATAGTCCCTAAATTTATCCTGTCCCATGCAGTGACTCCAGACCTGCTTACTGAATGTGGGAGGGACTATTCCATCCAGAAGCACCTGGAATGAAAGGCCTGGTAAGCCACTTCTGAGAAGTCAGCCAATGGTGCATAGTTATACATGGATGCAGAGCAGGTCACCAGGTGTCCAAACTGACGGGCATGGCATCTGGTAAAAAACCAGTAATTCCCTACTAACACTCACACAACACCTCCCACACACAAAGCCACTTATCACAAATGGAAGCATATCCCTGTCCATGAGTGTCCCCACATCACATTGCCACTAGGTAGGCCTGTCAGCTACACATTTCTCTGGAAGGGAATGGACAGTCGTTGGCAGGGATGTGACCTCTCCCAGGAGGTCTTAGTCAGTTAAAGAGGAGCCAAGATGAGGCCCTCCAGGTAGGAGGTGTGGAGAGGCCAAGACGCCAGAAAAAAACGGGGTTCCCACAGAGAATGGCCACGGCTGCCCGGACACCCAGAGGGTGCCAGCAGAGAGGACAGACTGAGCTTTCTCCTGTGATCAGTGAGCACTCTCGGTAACAAGGGAGCGTCCGAGAAGGACAATCCCTGGGCAGCAGAGATCGGTTAGACCTCACGATCGCACCCAGGATGAGGAAGGCACATCCGTACACGATGCCACCGCCACCGCCGTGCTGGCCTTCTGCAGTCCGGAGGATTTCAGGGAGGGAGGCTGTCTAATGTGGCAGGTCAGCTTCAGCTAGGCCTTTCCTAGAATCGGGGTGAGGCCCACAAACAGGGAAGGCTCAGAGCCATGTGGCCCCAGTCTCGCCCCTCTAGGGAGCCGGGACGTGAAGACCTTTTCTGAGTGTGAGTGCTTGTTCTAACCTTGGTGGACTTAACACCAGAATAAAGAGATATCTCTTGCTTTGATAGATTCTCTGGTGCCCCTGAAGGCCCGCCCCCAACTCCCTGTCCCTGCCCTTTGCTCTAGGAAACCCTAACACGAGGCGGGATACTTCCGGCCTTGCATGACTTACACGCCGAGCTGCCCGGGAGACCACGCGCTGCGCTGCGCTGCACTGCTCTGCAGAAGCTGGATATCTGCTCCGTCCGGGAATCAAGGTGAGGAAGACTCTGCACGGGCCCGGGGGTCCCCTCAACCCCCGAGATCGGCAGTACCCGCCATTTCTGTCGGAAGGGCTTCCTGGAGGGGGTGGGCTTTATTAGAAAGTTGGCACCACAGCCTTCTAGTGGGAGAAGACGGGGGGTCCAGTGCAATGCTGAGGGGTCCGGTGCAGTGCTGGTGGGGACCGTGAGTGCTAACCTGGCAACCTGAGTGCTAAAGCAGGCACCAGGGGAGGATCAGGGGCAGGGGGGTACGCCCGAGGCCCGGTGCCATTGTGGAGAGGAGGAAACAGAGGTGGGCTGGAGGAAGCGGTCCTCAGACGTAGTGCCCACGGCTCGGAACCGGCCCACAGTCCGCCCTCCAGCCGGTTCTCCAAGCCATAGATCCCACAGGAGGAGATTGCCCACTTTTCTCCCAGGGACCACCTGGTGGATTCGAACCGCCAGGGAAACCAAGGGCTTTGAGTTGGCACCGCAACACCCTACCAACTACAAGAAATAGCAAAAAAAACCCCAAGCTCGCTGCCGTGGAGTCAGAACCGGCCCATAGCAGACCACCAAGCGGGTTTTCTGACGCTGGAAACAGCACAGAAGGGAGCGTGCTGCCAACGCGAAAACAGGCGGTTCAAATCCGTGCTGCTAGTGGGTTTGAACTGCTTGCCTTTGCGTTGGCAGTGCAAGTCCCTACCCATTAGTCCAGCAGGGCTCACTTTATAGGCAATGGGAAACACAGAACTGTGGGGCTCACTTCATTGCAACATCAGCTCTGTTACAGTGGTCTGCAACTGACACGTCTGTTATCTCCAAAATCTGCTTATAATCAAACTGTTTAAATTACTGATAATGCTGTTATTAAGTAGGATGTGTTAAAAATGGCTATGATTCTCTTTTTCGGGACACTTTAAAGTGCAGCACTTTGGACACTGGGACCACGTTAACAGAAATATTTTCAAAACTAAAAAAGCAACCACAGTTGCCTTCAACTCCATACCAAGACAGAACTGACCTTCTAGCAAGTTTTCAGAGGCTGAAAATCCCAGGGGAGGAGATTCCCTACCAATCTTCAAAAGAGCCTCTATTGGATTTGAATCAGAAAAGAGGTGCTGCCTTTGGGTTAGCAGTAACAACTCCCTAGACCACCAGAGTTTTCCTAGTAGAGGGAAGAATCCAGGCTTCTCCCAAGACTCCGATTTAGGTGAAGGAAGAGACCTGGGCCTATTATAAACCCAGCATGCACACAGAGATCCATAGTAGAGGCAGGAATCCAGGATTTTCCCTGGAGTCCGATTTTGGTAAAAAAAGTAAGAGGCTTGGGGGAAGTTGCTGCCATTAAGTCAAAACGTGAACATGGCAACTTTCACCACCTAAGGTCTCAGCAGATAAAAACCTTACTGCCTTCATTGGGTGGGCTCTACAGAGGGAATAGATGGCTCAAGGCAACAAAGAAAGTGGTTCTGAGCTCATGTCAGGAGTGAAAGATAGGGCCCTGAGCAAGGCCTAAGAGAACAGCTGTCAAGAAAAGTTGTTGTTAGGTGCCACTGAGTCACGTGCGTACACATTATAGTGACCCTGTGAAGAGCAAAGAGGCATTTCTCAATCTGGATAGGAAGAGCTCTGGACCTTTGAAGGCCCAGGGAACCTGGTGGGATTTCAGGTCCAAAGGTGATCGTGAATCTCCATGTAGACAACAAAAAGAGGGTCTCAGACCCAATGTGGGGCCTGAGTTAGAACTCTGAATAAGATCTGAGGATTACAAGGAGAGAAGGACAGAAAGAACCCCCAGACTGGTAGCACTGTGGGTCCTGCCATAGGGGGAAGACCTAGTACCCCTCCATGTTTCTCTTGAGGGTCCCAGGAACTCGGAGGTGGCCCCTCTAGAAGTGCAGAGTTAGGGAGAACAAAGAAGCGCCTGAATTGTGATGAAGGTCCTGAATGTGAACAGAGGAGGCATGGCCACAGGTAGAGGTTCCCCACCACCAGCACATGCTGTCAGCCCCAGACAGGGCTGGAGGCTCACTCTAACATTCTCAGCAGACTTGTAGTGGATGGCTGCACAGGGCTAGGCACCCTTGGCGTACCTGGAGCAGTGCCCCCTCCCCCCCGGGAAACCTGCAGAGAGGTCTTCTTAATGCCAAGATGCCGGCTTCCTAGTGACAGGGCTCACGTGCTCTCATCCTCACTCTCCCAGGGACCACACCACGTGCCCTGGTGCCACACGCCATCATGCCTCGTGGGCAGAAGAGTAAGCTCCGGGACCAGCAGAAACGCCACAAGGCCCAAAGTGAGGGCCAGGGTTTCGGGGGTGCTCAGGCCTCCCCAGGGCCCTCCTCTCTTGAGAGCAAAGGCAAATCCCAGAGTGCCTCTGCTGCCGCCAACCCACAGGCGCCTGTGGCAGCCCTAGAACCCAGCACTCAGGGTGCAGCTCATGCGGGGCCAAGAGCTAAGAAAGGTCAGCAGAACGGAGCCGAGGGTGCACCCTGCTCGCTGAAGGCCTCGTCCTCCGTGGAGTCCTCAGCCCAAGATCCTCTCAACAAGAAGGCCAGCGTGCTGATGCAGCTGGTGCTTCGCAAATACAGATCGGAAGAGCCCATCAGCAAGGGAGAGATGCTGAAGACCATCAACAAAACATACCGGGAGCACTTCCCTGAGATCCTGAAGCGAACCACTGAGCGCATGGAGCGGGCCTTTGGCCTGGAGCTGAAGGAGGAACACCCCAACGGGCAGTTCTATGTTCTCCAAAGCAAAGAACGTCATCCTGACGAAAGCACTCCCAGTGGCACCAGGCAGTTCCCCAGGTACAGGCTCCTGATGCCGCTCCTGGGCATGATCTTCCTGAACGGAGGCACCGCCACTGAGCTAGAGGTCTGGACTTTCCTGAATATGCTGAATGTCTAGGATGGGAGGCGGCACCACGTCTTTGGGGAGCCCAGGAGGCTGATCACCCACGATTTTGTACAGGACAAGTACCTGGAGCACAGACTCTTGCCTGGCACCCAGCCTCCTCGCTACGAATTCCACTGGGGTCCCAGAGCCTATGCTGAATGTGAGAAGAAGAAAATCAGAGAGTTGGTGGCTGGGATGATGGGTATCACACCCAGTGCCTTCATGACCCAATATGCAGAGTTATTGAGAGAGGAGCAAGAGGAAGTCAAAATCAAAGATGCACCCCAGGCTGTCCCCACTGTCCCAGGAAAGGCCAAGGTCTAGGTGGTTCAACCCTCCACTCCTAGGGAAGAAGGAGGGGCTACCTAAGGGGTAGAAAAGAGATGTTAACCTCAGCAAGGAGGGGCTGGATGGAGAGTACAGTGTGCTAACTTTTCTAAGTTCCTTTTCAATATGTGTAACTAATAAGGTTAGCTTATTACAAGATGCTGTACATCACAAGGGAAGAAACTATTTTTCTCTCAAGTTTGATAAGGTTCTACTTCATTCAGATAGTAAGTTTAAAAATTACATGGGTCATAAGTTTTGTTGGCTTTTGTGGTTCATGAAACAAGTGGAAAAGTCTGACCTCTCTCTGAGTGTGAGTGCTTGATACTGGAACAGGTATCTTCCTACAAAAGTGAGAGAATGTCATGAGAAATCCTTGGGATAACACTATAGACAAACAATGACTCTAAGGTGAATAATTCCTGGTTTCCTGTGCGCTATTTAGTCTTTCTGTTGCTGATATAAAAGCTTTGTGCCTGTTTTTCAAGAATCAAGATAAATTGTTGTTGTTATGTGTCGTTGCGACTCATGGCGGCCAGTGATAAAGCTTAGTCTTTGTTGCCTCTTTTATTCTCTAATCATTTGTTCTCTATGGATGGTCAGGTTTAGACAGAGAAGACTCAGCTGCCCTCCTACCATAGTAGAGGCTGTGAGCACCTCTCCCCAAGGTCATAAGGTGTAAACCATGCAGAGTACAGGAAAAGAAGGGGCCAGAGGGAAGGCAGGTCCAGAGAGACCAGAGGACCGTGGCCATTGAGGCTCCTTGAGTAGTAAGTACTATTTAGTTGAAGTGCCTGGTTGGTACAAACATAGAATGAATGGCTTAGCTGCTAAGAGAAGGGTTAAAGGTTCAGGTCCACCCAGAGGTAGTTGGGAAGAAAGGCTTGGTGATCTTCTGAAAGGGGAGCCCCTGAAAACCGTCTGGAGCACAGATGTGCTTGGACACATGC